AGGTGGAGGAGTTTAAGTATCTTGGGGTCTTGTTCACGAATGACGGAAGGATGGAACGTGAGATTGACAGGTGGATCGGTGCTGTATCGGTCCGTTGTGGTGAAGAAGGAGCTGAGCTGAAAGGCAAAGCTCTCGATTTACCGGTCAGTCTACAATCCTACCCCCACCTATGGTCATGAGCTTTGGGTCATGACCGGAAGAACAAGATCCCAGATACAAGAGGCTGAAATGAGCTTTCTCCGCAGGGTGGCAGAGCTCTCCCTTAGAGATAGGGTGAGGAGCTCTGTCACACAAGAGGAGCTCGAAGTAGAGCCACTGCTCCTCCACATCGAGAGGAGTCAGCTGAGGTGGCTTGGGCATTTACATCGCATGTCCCCCGGACGCCATCATTTGCTCAGGTCTCGCCCCTCTGGGAGGACACCTAGGGGAAGACCCAGGACACGCTGGAGCGACTACGTTGCTCGGCTGGCCTGGGAGTGGAGGAAGTGTCTGGGGAGAGGGAAGTCTGGGTGTCCCTGCTCAGATTGTTGCCCCTGCGACCCGGCTAATAGATAAGCGGATGATGATGGATGGATGGATGAGGAGAAAATGCAAAGTCCATACAAAAATACTGGGTATTGAACCAGCAAACCAGGGTAAGGCAGAGGTACTAACTACTCTGCCACCATGTGGTTCAAAGGTACAAAATAAAAGAAGGAGAGAAAATGTCCTTCTTTTGCTTTGACTTGTCTCACCAGAAGATTGTAAAAAAAAAGAAACTCCTCAGCTTATCTTGAACCTTCATGGTGGACACTGAAGATGATCGCATTTCTCATAACTTTATGGAAAATGACTTTAATTTTTGGCCACAGTAGCCCTGAGAGGCTACGCTCAAAATGGTTTAATAGCCATTGAAGCTGTGGGCCACAAAACCAATATGGCATTCTATAGTCCTGTCGATTTCAGTGTAATTTAATCCAGCCCTTAGGACAGGCATCTGTCAACAGCAATGGCTGGAAAACTGTTCCAAGCACAGACTTCAAGGAGCAGATGAATTCTCAAACCCTTTATTAACTCTGTCTGTGCTGCTAACATCAGACACCTGCATTTATCCCTTGTCTCATTTACCAAGACTGACAAAGTAAAGGTGCGACAAAAGCAAAGGAAGTCTAATAGACAGAAACAACACCTGGCTGAAAGATATTTGTGGATACAACTGAGACTGGAGGTACTTAATAACTGTACAGACAGCAGCAAACATTTTAACTTAGCTCCAAGCTAAAAAAAGGCATAGAAGTAACTTCTTACCTACTTAAAACTAGACGACTCTCTTACTGGCCGTCTTCTGTACTGCTTCAATCATCATATTAGCAACAATGTGCGCACTTAGCAAGTGCTACTTTCTTAGCCATTCAGTGTTGTTGTTGTTCAGTCAGACACAGAGAAAACACAATATACAGTATATAGCATACACACAGCACAGGGATTCCTCTAAAGCTGCATTTAAACCATTAACCACCAAAGTTTTATAAATTTAAAAAAAATGTTATGCTAAGAGCTATAACTTTCCAACTGTCTCAATTTGATTTCTCTCTGAATTCCATTTCCATTTTAGGGAAGACTTTTGTCTCAAGTGTGAAAAGGAGAGAATGAGAGCGCCCTCGTATCACTGTAATAGCTCTGTGTAAAGCCCTGTCTTCCTCACTCTCTCCTTCGTGTACATTGAAAAAACATTAGGTGAGAAAAGTTCATAACAGTGCTTTATAAGTGTAGGTTTTCTGTTTGGTTTGTGCTTTGTGCAGCTTTTCAGGAGTTTTTTTAAACAGTTCTGAGTTTAGCTGTTAATACAGATGAATTGTTATTTTATTTATTATTTATAATGTTTTACTGAAGCGTGTATTGTTGACCACTTCCTATGGATTATGTTTAGAAAAACAAGTACGATCTTCAGGAAATGTCACTGCAGCTTAATGGTGGCTCAAATATATTGAACCAAATCTTTGCTAGGTTAAATAAGTTAAAAGAGGACCTTGGGTGGTTTTCTAGCCAGAGAACTGGGCCTAGTGCCATATACAAACAACCTTATTATTATTATTATTATTATCCATCCATCCATTCATCCATTTTCATCCGCTTATCCGTTACCGGGTCGCGGGGGCAGCAGTCGCCACCCAAATCACACTGCACCATACCAACCCCTAAACCTTCCTGCAGGTGGTGAGTCCACTGGAAGGTACCAACCGCCCTAACCGGGATTTGAACTTGCCCAGGAGGTGAACCCTGGGGTTCCACACCAAGGACAGAGACATTGCCTCTGGGCCAAAGCGCCACTATTATTATTATTTTTATTATTATTATTATTATCCATCCATCCATTCATCCATTTTCATCCGCTTATCCATTACCGGGTTGCAGGGGCAGCAGTCGCCACCCAAATCACACTGCACCATACCAACCCCTAAACCTTCCTGCAGGTGGTGAGTCCACTGGAAGGTACCAACCGCCCTAACCGGGATTCGAACTTGCCCAGGAGGTGAACCGTGGGGTTCCACACCAATGACAGAGCCATTGCCTCTGGGCCAAAGCGCCACTATTATTATTATTTTTATTATTATTATTATTATTAAAAAAGATTATTGTGAATGTTACGTTTTTTATGACAATTTATTTCCATTTAATTAATGTACCTCAAATGTCTATGAACAGTGTGTTTTAAGCCATGAAATCTCAACCAATACTCACAGATGTAGTAGTATTCTCTGCCTGGTCTGAATTCAAATCCCAAGGAGAAGGGAGTGAAGAGCTGGAACTTCTCTGAAAACTTAAGTAGCCCATTTGGGGAGTGCGGCCTGTTGCATTCCCAACGCTTGAAGCCCTTGGCGGTGTGATCACATGTGCTATAGCCATCGTAGTTAACCATGTAGAGCACATAGCGCTCTGTCCGCTCCTCTGGAACTGTGTCTTCGTAGTGTGGACAGTACACGTCCAGGTAGTCATTTATGCACACATCGATGTGGTAGTCTCCCCGATGGAACCTAGAAGTGAAGAGAAACATAAAAAGGTTAATTTTTTTCTTAGAAATATTATGATTTGATCTTATATTTGGTGTGTCTGAACATCATCATTTGTTCTGGATAAAATGTATTTATATTAACTAGTATGAGCAGGCAGGTTTGATCTCTTTGTATGGTGTCATCCGAATGCCCCCGAAAGGTCCACAGCTGCTAAATTACAGCGGCTAAATTAAGTGACCGTTCCTGTGTTGTGAGTTTATTCCTCGCGACCCCCGGCGGAATAACCCTAACCCTGAGTCAGAGGGGACCTCATCCAGGAAAAACTTTTGGACACCTGTATACAAACTAGTGGTGCCCTCAATTTGGCACATTCCCTTAAACAAAAACTGAAAGTGTGACAATGTTAACCACAAATAGCCCACACACAGCTGCTGCTGGTTGGTTTCACCCAGAGGCCAGGAGGGGTGATGTTATAATGGACACTTATTTAATGTTGCAAAAGCACCACTTGACAAGACTTTTGACAAAACTTTTAATTGGAAACTGCCACCGCTGCCTGCAAGAAGGTCTCCCAAAGCCACAGAAAGCACAAAGGCCAGAGCACACAACAGGCCAAACAAAAATTCCTTCTAAAGAGTCTGGAGTCTGAGGATGAAAGTATTGAAGCACAGCTCTTGTAGCGTGGTGATCTCTTTCACTGTGAGGTCTTTTTCTACTCCAATCTTCTGCTATGTCTGTGATGTGCAGAATATTTCCTCAAATGCATTAAAATGTCCCTTAACACTGGACAAGCCATAACAATGAACATTTTCCTGGCACATTTTTTTATTTTAAAATGACAAAAAAAAAAAAAAAAAAAAATCACTCGACTTTAAATGTGTCAAGACATCTTCAAATGTGAGTCAAGGTGTGAAAACGTCTGCTTTGGTCTTGTCACTCTTTTCAACTGTTTCTTTTCTTTTTTTAAAAAAAAAAAAGCCATGTTGCTGTCTCTCCTCCGAAGAATAGCATTTTTATAAAACTTGTCAAATTGCTGTATTGGCAGTGAAACCCTTTATTCTACTTGGCCGTGTCCACTTTAATCTGCACAAAATTAACATCACAATGGAAAGCAGCCTCCTTGTTTGGAGGATCAAAAAACAATTTAAGGAATATCTAGCTTTGGTGTCAACTCTGTCATTTATTTTACATCAATGTAATGTGATTACTTTAGTGACAGTGACTAAAACAACTGTATTTGTATTTACAGCAGTAAAACGTGTCGAGAAACAAGAAGAGCCAGCTTCAAAAGTGGTGTTTTTATATGTGCACGCATGTGTGGGTTAGAGTGTGAACACGAGTGTGTACCGTCCAGACACACATACGTGTGTATGTCTGTTTAACCCATTTCGGGTAAGTACCAACGTTAGGGCTCATCTGTAACATCTCATTTAAAGGATGTCTGCCGAGGTCCAGGAAAAGCCATGCATCTTCTTTTTTTTCTATAAAATGTCAATGACTTGATGGTCACGTCCCTCTGTCAGCTCGCTACAGTGTGCATATGGGACTGCATGCATGCTGTCATGGGCATCGTCTGTGTATGTGTGTTTCAGCTGGCCTTCTTTCCCTGCCTCAGAAGCCAGAGTAGTAACTTGTGGCTCTGACTGCAAATGAAGCAGCGGATGTTTGGGTGAGTGAGCACATAAAAGGAGACAGGATATGCATTTGTAACATACAGTTGGATCTCACGCACGCACACACATGCATACACACATATAAACAAATCCACAAATGTATGCATAGAAGGCCACTTGTATTTATCAGGTATGCGTTATCAGTCCAACAGACTCTAAGGCAACAAAGCAACAAAACCGAGGCTGCTCATGGCGCACAGTGAGGACGAGAGTGAGAGCAAGGAAAAGGCAATGATGAAGGAAGAGGGAGATGAAGGCAGAGGGAGAGAGGGGGTCTGGACCCAGTTGAAAGAAACACAATCCAAACAAATAGGTAGCGAGACTGCATTCTGATTCCAAGTCACTGCAGGAGTTCGCCAACCCTGCATTTATCACTCAGGAAGATGCTGCTAAAACAGTGCATGAAGAAACTGCATGCACACTGTACATTTTCTGCAGCTCTGTGCACACGCGTACTTGTAGTATGTATCAAAGTATATTTTGTATTTAACCACTGTTTAACTGGTCCTTCTTTAAAACTTTGTTTACACAGGACTCTATCGGAGGCGTTGTGTTTTTACAGCTGTCGATAACAGTCCTTAGGTTTAAGCAAAAAGAGGTATGTGTTGGACTCATTGGCCACATTAACGCATGTTGTTCAACATACACATACATACACAACATTTGCCTCTGTAGAATACATAAGCACCAAGACCTTGCATCAGTGGAATGTAAATCAATGCTGCGCTCTGTTCGAATCCTAATGAGTGAAATATAGGCAGTAGTGACAGAACAATAAAGCTGGCTTAATAAAAGAGCCAGTTGCACAGACAGGGGATTGATGAAAGATTTCAGGAGGGATCTCCCAATGTGCTGCAATAGGTTAACCCTATAACGCCAAACGTATCACATTTGATACATGAGTTTTACAGCCCTCCACATGACCAGTGTGATATTTCTTTCCCTGAAAAACCAGATGTATACATGCAGTGCACAGATAATTCAACAGTGGATAGTAATTCACTCATTAGTGGGCCTTTCAGTGACACTACAAGATTGCCATGACTTAGGATCTGGACACAGGTGGTTTTTTAAGAAGAACGTTGCCAAATTTGAAAAGGTTAAGATGAGAAAATCATTAAAAGTTTTACTGGAACATCAGTAAGAATAGTTATTGGTTTGATGCAATGTGAAAATACCTAAAATTTCATAATCTATGATTTAGTAAAACCGTGTTGAAAATGACGTATCAAATTTGATACAACAGGTATATAAGGTCATGAAAGATTATTGCTATGTGAGGTGTCTTCAGGCAAGGAATGGAAGCAGCCGGTAGATGGTCGATTTGTTTTAATAGCAAAACGTCAAACAAAACAGGTCCAACAATAAAGCAAAATAAA